GGACTCAAGAGAAAAGCATCAGCAGCATTATTTATTTGCTTATTCATTCATTCAATTTCTATGGCCGCTCATCTCAAACAAATGACTCCGGGTGGTAAACAACCATCATGTTTGCAATTAATCATTTGCTCAAGTTAGCAATCAACAGTAACGGAACAAGCAACCAAGAACAAGCAATCAAGAAATATGCCACAGACTAGCACTTGGTAGAGCAGCCATGAAGGCCTTGGAAAAGATATTCAAATAACGTGATGTGTCTATATCTACAAAGCTCAGAACTGTGCAAGCCATGGGATTCCCTGTGACACTCTATGGAAGTGAAAGTTGGACTTTGAAGAAGCAGGATAGGAAGAATATTGATGGCTTTGAACTTTGGTGTTGGAGAAGACTCCTGAAAATACCATGGACAGCCAAGAAAACAAACCGATGGATCATCAAACAAATCAATCCAGAGTTCTCACTCAAGGCACAAATGACCAGGCTCAAATTATCCTACTTTGGACACATTATGTGAAGACCCAGCTCTCTAGAGAAGATTCAAATGCTGGGAAAGGTCGAAGGAAAGAGGAGAGGACAACCAGCAGCAAGGTGGGTGGACTCAGTTATAATGGCAATTAGTGTACCCTTGGGAGTCTTGAAAGAACAGGTTAGGGACAGATAGTCATGGAGGAAATCTATGTGGTCACTAGGAGTCAAAAATGACTTGATGGCACATAATCAAGTTATAAAAATTGCTTCTGAGTAAAAATCAGGAATCAGGAAATATATGAGCTGGGACCACCGTGGCAGTTTGCAAAAGAGAGCATCCAGCAGGCTGGAGAGTGTTGGCTCTGGATGTAACAAGCTTTGGCCTTCTGCGGGACAAGAGGTTGATTGTACCGATGGTTCCTGACTTTTTTTCTCTTGTAAATCACTGGAATTATCCCCATGAAGGACAGAATTATATCTCTGCTACAGATAGAATATACTTGTTATCTTTTTGTAAATGCTGCTTTCAAATGGAACTGCCAAACTGAATCCTGATAAGAGCTGCATAGGGTGGAAGTAAAGCATGTGTGAGAACAAACAGAATACTCAATGCAGTGATTCTCAAACTGTGGTCTGTGGAGATCCAGCAGCTGGTCCACCACAGCTTCCATCCAGAGTTGCTCACCATCTCAGCCTGCTGCCTATCCACATTCACTACCAGTGAACTGGCCAGACCAAAGCCACTTGCCAACTCAGTCCCACCTCGACTCATTCACTGCCGCTCAGCTGGTTCACCAACAGGGACCAGTGGATGAAAACTGTTTCACTGAGATGCACAAGTGATAACCAAAGTAGTAAGGGGCATACTAAAATTCTTAAAACTGGGAACAGTGGACAGGTCCTGCACGAAGCTACCTCATGTGCTGCCCTAAGAGGAGCAAGCAACCTCAAAAGAAAAGAGCCAACAATGAATATTTAAAAGTGGGATTTCTCTGGGAGGGAGCCAGTGCAATCACCAGGCGGTAACTTCAGTTCATGATAACTTTATTTCTCCGAGGATAGAGATCCTGTTTAATGGCTGTGAGAAGAGCCTTTTGCAACGGAAAGGGAAATAAACTGACGCCCTCTCCACTGGTAAGTTTCCCGCAGCAAACAGCCATTAAGGGAGCGGTGTCTTCCTGCCTGTGATCTGCACAGGCAGAACTTTCACCTGTTGAACTGCCCGCGGTGCGATGTTAAGGAGGCACTGGAAGAGGGACCAGGACAGGTTTCCCAGAGGAACGCGGAAAGAGAGGCGAAGGGAAATGGCAGACCTCCCGTCCCGCTTCGCTCTCGCTCCGAGCAGAGGGAAAGCGCTCCTCTCGCAATCCCACCCACGGCCTTGGGGAAAAAGCCACGCAACGCGCAGCAGGGAGCCTCCCGCCCGCCGACCCGCGCGTCCGCCCCTGGCGATCCCTCACCGGGGGCTCCATGACCCTCCAGTCGTCGCCCCGACGGCCGAGAAGTCGCGGAAGCTCCAGTTCGCTTCCCCTCGAGAAGGAGGGGCATCGCCTTTGAGCTGGGTTGCTATTATTGGCTCTGGACCTGTCCGTCAAACAGAGTCAGCCCGTAGCGGGGCTCTGGCGAGCTTTCCTCCGCCCGGAGACGCGATTCAGCCCCAGCGGGGCAGGCGAAGCGGCGCCTGGGTAGGGACGCGCAGACTTTGGATCGTAGGTGTCACGCGGCAGCGTCGTTTGCCCGCCCAGAAGAGGAGCGGTGCTCGCGGTACTTTTTCACGAAGCCGAGGCCTTTGTCGACGGGGAAGCCAGCGGACCTTTGGCTCGGGAAATAGTAGGGCTGTGAGGGTCCCCGGCGGGGGGAGAGCTGGGCGTGGCTTCTGGGGCTGCGTGTGCTTGGAAGAAGGCGCGGCTCGGAGATGCCACCCTGTGGGCGAATGCCCGTTTTCCGAAGGGTGTGTGCAGCTTTGGCAAGCATTCTTGGGGAAGGATGGGTGAAATAGATCCGGGGAGAGGGGCTGCGTCCAGCTCTGCAAGAAGTCCACTTTTTGCCCTGTATGGCAGGTTGGAATGAGATGGTCTCTTCCATATTATAGAATACTTTCATATGTGAGCGAAGGAAGAAACCGGCCCCAGTCGCTCCTGGCCAGTGTGATTCTTGGGAAGCTGAGAAGGACGAGAGTGCCATAGATTACCCCCACCCCCACCCCCACCCCAATTCTCTTTCTGTAACATCTAAGATGGGGACATCGGCTTTGATAGTGAAGCTCACTATAATAATATGGAGAGTGTTGGAAAGCTGTCCAAGTTGGCTGTCATCATGCACACTGGCTCCCAGATATTAACCTCACATGCTGTGTGAAGAGCTATTGCGTAGAATTCCCCATCATCCAGCTTCACTTGATGTTCCCACCTTCTAGAACTACGTAAAGCGAAAACCCCAGCTCACTTTCCCAATACAAAGCTGCTTTAATAGTGGTGCTGAGATTTTGTGTTTCCTCAAGGCTTTTGAGCCTTCTTTTAAAGTGTTAGAGAGAGACTGCTTTAGTGATGGAAACCTGGGGGGAAAAAAACAGCTTTAATAAAAGTCACAGAGGTCTTGCACTTGTATGAGGCCCAAAGTACTTCTTCCAAACCATGATTGGAATGTACACAACCCCGATATTTTGCTTTGTTTGCATTTCCCAACCCAGTGGAATGACAACCCAAATGTCTTGGAGTGGCAGGCCATTTTTCAAGCCTCTTCCAATTCAGTGTCTATTGCAAGTAGAAGATTTTCTAAGCCATCTATCCTTTGGTTCATACTTCAACAATTATGGTGCTGTCGTTTGTGGTTTCTGTGGTAGTATGGATCTTTTATGCTGCTTTAGGATTTGTGATGTGGTTAGGGACTAAGAATTCAGTTTAGATCCCCTTGCATCATCATTCCTGCTGTTAAACAAAAAGGCCCAGGTTCATGTAACATACTAGGACTTCATGTGATTTGCTTGGTTTTGGCCAATTGTGGTTTGTTTTGTAAATCATACTTAAACAATGGCTTAGTAAAGTATGTGAAACCAGGCACTGTTTTAACTGCATCCTAGTGATGTTTAGCAGATGGAGAAGCACTCCTTGCCTTGGTTGTTTTCAGAATGGGGCATGAGGAAGGCATAAGGTCTCACCTCCCCTGTTCCTCCTGAAATGCTAGCAAGGAGAGTAGAGAGCTTCAGCTTCTTAATGTCCCATTGGTTCTCTCTCCACCCCCATTTTTCACTGATGTGCTATATCTGACAGTGCCACATGAGCTGGAGATTGACAAAGCAGGAACGAAGAGTTCCTGTGACAGAGGCTGAAAGCTAGCAACAAGCAAAGGAGAGGCTAGTGAGGAACCTATTAAATTAAAGATTCCAAGGGGAGCGATTGGACTACATAAATAAATAAAATTATAGGTTCCAAAGAGAGTGGTTGGGCTTAATTAATAACGCCTTGTGGATCCTCAACTTTTTAAGCATTTAGGATTAAAACTAGATAGAACAACCTTCTTTAATTCTGGGCTTTCCAGATGTGTTGGAGCTGCATTTCCCAGAATTCCTAAGCAGAATGCCTTTAAGAATTGCTGTCCCAACACATTTGGGAGGTACTGGGTTTGGAAGGCTGGTACAGGATATAAGCCAGTTTCAAAGAGATAACAGAAGACTGGGAGAGTATTTCTTCCTTCTGAGAACTGTTCTAGGAAATGGTTCATGAATAGGGAGCACCCTCTTGTTCATCAAAAGGAAGGGAAGCCCTCTAAACCAGTGTTCCTCAACCTCAGCAACTTCAAGATGTGTGGACTTCAACTCCCAGAATTCCCCAGCCAGCATGGAATTCTGGGAGTTGAAGTTCACACTTCTTAAAGTTGCTGAGGTTGAGGAACACTGCTCTGAACAATGGGAGTGCCTCACTTTGGGCTGTCACCTTGGAGAGAGCTGCTTCATGACCCCAGTGGGGTAGAGAATACACCTCTCTTGGCAAAGAAAGGGTTCCTTTCCCCAGTGCTTGCCAGCACTAACTGTGTAGGACTCATGTTCCTGTGCCAGTACAGAATGGGGAATAGCATGTGCCTCACAACTCCCACAGGAAAGCTGTGCAGCTCCTAGTCTGCCAACCGCTCTTTCTAAATTTGAATCTTGCAGTAGATGATGTTGGCTACCAGTAGGCGCAAACCTCCTCCCTGCTTGCTGCTGTTGATGACAAAAATGGTCTTTTGGGGAGTGTCTCCTCCACTGATCCAGCCAGCAATCTCTCATGGGTCAAAAGCCTTCTCCTGCGAAGTCTAGTGAGGAACTAGTCTCCTGGCAGTGTGGCTGGAGGCAACAAGTGACGCATGCTGATTGGAGGGCTGGCTTGAATCTAATCAGCAGAACAGCCACGCAAAGTCCTGGGATGGCAGATGGCTGTTCAGGCTGTGAGTAGGAGCTGTATCCGTGTGGGGGTGGGTGAGAAAAACCCAGGTACGGTAACGCATAAGGGTAGCAACTCCAAGGGATGGAGGAGAGTAATAGGAGGTCTGAGAAAAGGCGCATCTTTAATGGGCCTCAGTGTAACTCTATGCAGGCTTCCTATTGGAAGGAGCCCTGCTTGGCATCTTCCTCCATACTGTCCCTGAGGGAAACTTGTAACACCTTGTTTGTGATGAGCCATGCCTGTACTTCCCTGTGCAGATGTAGATGGGTGTGTGCCAAATCCCTCCCAATCAAAGTGGTTCAACAGCATGGCTTCGCTTTGGGGCATGTACAAGTGCACTCACATACTAAAAAAAGTCAAATTCTTCTGACTCAAAAAACATTTAAATGATGTAGCATATCATAACTCAGCACCAACTTATTCCTGACTCTGTCTTAAAATTATAGAAAAGGATCTTGTTCATATACACAATTATAAAATTATATACAGTAAATGGATCTTGTTCTATGTTCTGTTTTGATTGTATACTTGTTATTTTTATGCTGAGAGCCACCCAGAGTCCATTGGAGTTAGGTGGTGCCTAAGTAGAAATAAAATCAATCAATCTAAATAGGATGATCTGAATTTCTTGTTTATTGTTTTAATTGAGTTTAATCCAAGGATTTACAGACATTCTGTCCCTTCCTCCTCCTCCTCCTCCCCTTCTTAAATCAGCCCTATTATTTTCATCAGCCACATACTGTCCTGTTTCAAACCTTCTCTTTCTGAAATGTTTTCTGTATTAGATTCCTACCACTGATTTCCATTGATAGCTTAAGCAGTCTACTTTTTCATCTGCTGTGCTCTGTCGGTCTTTCTCTTTCCCCCATCACTTGAACATGTTGCTTGTAGTTCTGGCTAGCAGCTTCCACTGTGAAATGGAAAGGCGAGCTTTCTATTGTTGATCCAATAAGACCTTTCATTCGTCCTAATAAACATATTAGTGACCAGACAATGTATCTGAATGTTTTCTAGAATGATCCCATCCCATTCACGTTTAGGAGGAAGATCACCAAGAAGTGCTCATCACATAGAAACATATCCAAGTGATCCTTTCTTGGGGAAACTGCCCGGTTGGTTGTTGAGCTAATGCTCCTTGGTGCTCCTAGAAGGTCTGTTGCCACCAGGCCTCTCTATGGGCAGACAAAGAAAATACAATGCAGTAACTGCTACACATATTTACTCCTAAAAAGGCTGGAGAGCAAGAGCAACTCCATGTCATCACTGTAAGTCTTTGCTTGTAGAATCCTACATTGTCATTCTGTTATTCCTTCTTTTGTGACTAAAAATTGGCCAAGGTGGCTAGGGACCACCTGGGGTGGTGAGCCCCATTTTGAGAGTAGCAGATTGGGATGGGGTAGTACCTAACTATATCTCTATCTCTATATCTTTGTCTGTATCTCTATATCTTTGTCTCTACCTGTCTCTCTATCATCTCTGACTCTCTCTCTTGCGCTGTCATCTCTTTCTCTCTCCCTCTGTCTCTCATCTCTGCTAAATGACATGGTGAACAGTTGTGATAAGCATGCTGAGCATATCCAACTGTTTCCATCTAATCAAATTAGGGACACCATATAATAGACAGTGTTGCTTTGCTACTAGCTGTTCTGATTCATAGCCTTGGGTTGCATCCAGGTACGCAAATGGCTTGGATGTCTAGCATGCAATAAAGCCAAGCAAGTTTCTACCAGCTTCATTTCAGGGAACTCTTTTTATGTGATCCATACCTATTGAATACGTCCTGGTAATATGAAGGTTTGAGTACGGTAACATGCTATTTATGCAGCTGCCACAGGTAATGATCCCATTGATAGGATCCATACCAAATACTTTCTCTGTGTTACAAGATTTGTCCCAAATATTAATAGCAGAAGTCCAGAACTATGCATATTAAACAGCAGTGTCACTAATAGATTGATTATACTTTGAGTGATGAGAAATCTGGATTTATGGAAAGATGTAGTTCAGAGATAAGAGAATGTCCATTAAGAGCTGCACGCTATACTTTTTTGGGGTCAATTTGTGCGAATATTGTCCTTTTTCTGAGATGGATGGTTGCATATTATTTGTGCTTTATGTTCTCTTTCATATCCATAATAAAGAAAGGGAGATAATAGTTTTTCATATTGGATTCTGTGGAAGACATTTCCCTTGGCCATAAGTGATAACTTGCTTTCTTAGCACATTTTACCTTCAGAGCAACCATAAACACATAGAGTTCTGTAAAGTAGTGCTAAACAGAGCAAAAAAGCCCCCCTTTTGATATAGAAGGAAGCACCAGGTTACCAAGGAAACCTGGCACCTCAAGGACAAGTGACAATCATGGCATACTCTTATCCCAACAGCTCCTACCATAACAAAGAAATCAGACCACAGATGAACCTTGTTGTAGTGTCTAGTCATTTAAAAATACAGAAGCCTTGCCTAATTTTTTAGCTTCACTCTTGTTGCTAAGTAACTTTCTATGTTCTATCCAAGTAACTGTAGTTCTGCCTTCTGAATTGTATTATACATATATTCATTTTTTTAAAAAAAATCTGTAACTTACATATACTCTTGGCCCTGAGGTTAGGATCTGGTGACTTGCTGTATCAATAAATATAACAATAGTTTGGATCCTTCCTAGTTGTTTTGGTAAGATTGTTGGGTGATACTACCATAATTCTTTGCTACTTGAATTATAAAGCAGCCTTTTGAGATATCTTGAGCCATTGGAGTGTCTATACCTTCACCGATAGTGGTGGAATGTGATCTGGATGGCTTTGGTTATCTTTTTGGTAGCTAGTGTGTAGATTCAACTAATTTGTGCATGGCAATCCAGGTGGACTTCATCTGCAGTGCTTACTGCTAGAATGCAGTGACTAATGTTTGGAAGCTTAACTTTTTTGCTTATGAATTATTTTTGGGTGCTACAACTGATGACAGATGGGAACCAATGAGGTTGAACAGTCTTGCATACCAAGAAAAAGTAGGTAATCCCTCAGGTTCAGGTGTTTCCAGAAGTCAGAGATTATGCTAAAGCACCTTGTAAATCATATCAAGTTCTTTTATTCTGTTTTCCACAGAAATACCTTGTAGGGCAACTTGCCATACGGAATCACAATACATGAGGTGTTACACTGAAATACTACAAGTTCTCACAGAGCACAGCAGGACACACACATCATTTACAATGTTCAGATAAAGGTCATTGCACTTACAACTGTAAACTTCTTCTTTTGTTTGATGGGTTGTTGGTTTTATACAGAACTCTGCCGCCTCCAAAATAATACAAAATAAAAAAGAGGAAAGAAGAAAAACAACTCAAGAGAAACTGAAGGCAGGAGGATAGCATGGACGGTACATGTCATGTGACAGCCATAACAGCTCTATGGGACTCTGCTATGCTTTGCAAGAAGGGAAACAGTCCAGAAAAGTCAGTCACAAACACCAGGCTTTGTTTGTTGATTTTGTTTTTTTACACAAAAGCAAGAGTTGGCAGGTGTGCTGTCATTGAGATGGAGCCCCACAAAAGGGGGCTGTGAGTTGATTGTTTCCTGGGGTGGGGTTTGTTGTTGTTCTTCATACCATGTGAGACTTTTATTTTACACACTGTACAGATATTTACAATGGAAAGGGTCAAGGGAGATTGTAGCAGCCACTGTTGAGAAAACCAGTAGGGAACACAAATTTAGTCTAGAGCTCTGAAGAAGCATCCTCAGATTATGCACTTGTCATTGCAGGGAGCCTAAGAAAAAGAGGTCTGGCTGGCTGGAAAGAAGCTGCCTGGAGAAAACCGTGCTTGTCCCTGCCAGATGGCTTTTGGTTTGTACATTGGGAACCAAATCCCTCTTCTCAGGATTCAGTGTGTGAATGAGTGAATGAACGCTAGGAGTCTCACTGCTTCAGTTTGCCATTCTAGGTGAAGTATCTTCCCAAAATGTATTACACTTATCCCAAAGAGATGATGTATCAACATGTTAAATAAACTATATATGTAAACCACACATGATGTTCTGTTAGGGGTACTTGTTTTCATCCTCCTGTCCTGTTAGAAATTATTTCCAGCCTGCCCATTATTACAATAATTCAAGCACTCAGCTAGTTCTGTACTTACTGCAAGCCTAGAATGAACCAAGAGTGTGGCCTGAGCACTGGTAACGAACTAGGTGTTTGATGCAAGATCTCTGCCACCAAGCTGGGTGTGCAGATCCATGGAATTCAGTTAAGGCTCTCATGAGCTAAATTGTTTCCTGCAGTGGAACAAAACATAAGCTTCCTGGTCTAAATCTTGTATTTTTGTTAGAAAAATAGCCAATTCAGCAACGCTGGAAACTTACTGAAACACAGTTGTCTCAAATTTAAAAATCTAGTCTATCTTACAAGGTCTAAACCAACTGCTGAATCAAATGACTGGTCTTCTGTGCAGGATTTCACATGAAATACAATGGGTTAATTCCTCTGGAGAAAGGACTTCTACATACCCATAGTTTTATAGGCTGTATAAGACACTGAACAGCAACTAGTCACCTACCTTTTAGCTTAGTGCATTATGAAAGCTGTGTGGTTATTTTATGATTCATTGGGTTGTTGGTTGGTTGACTATAAGTAAGCATGTGGAGCAACACACAGTCAAGGAGTTTTTCCACTAAGTCCTGCCTCTTAAGAAATGACTAGCTTAAATTTAGAGGGCTTCACACTTATTCAGACTGCCAGAGCAGGCAAAGAAGATACTGCCAAGGGTTATATAGCCAGTATGTGTGCAGTTTGACTTAGAATTCTGTTATCAGTATCCACTGAATAACCATAAACATACCTTCCTACTTGCCCTTACAACTAAAGGCCTTGCCCTAATAGAGATCTGATGCAACTGTAGTGATTCCACAGTCCATGCAGGTGATAGATTTCCAATCTGCCTTGCCTCTCCTCGATCAGCAGAGCCAGTGGGCATTTGTAAGCCTTCTTCCTGAACATGAGAAACCAGAATCATGGGCAAATGTTGGGTGAACATATCCTCTAAGACGTAGAGTCTGGATAAGGAGAATATGCCTTGAGCTTGTAGTAACCATGGAAGACTCTTTTGTTACAGTGCTGCTTATAAAGCATCAAATTAGTGCTTCTATGTGATGAGATATATCAGTGTTTATGCTAGTTGTCCAAAATAGTCTTGGAATAATAAGGCTTATTAAAATAACACATACTTGCCTAAGGACCACATCACACATTTTTCAGTGTACAACTAAGATGTTCTAAGTGCAAGCAAAGCCAAAGTGTGAGTATATGAAACACATTCACATGTATGTGTCTGTATTAGATAGGAATTCTAGTCAGGCAGTTGTGATCAACTGTTGATTGTACAAACAGTTGTTGATTGTGCAAAACTGATACCCAGATTTGGCTATGGGTGACATGAAATTGCTTATACTCACTGGCCTGCCAGCTCTCTTTACTAAATTTTATTTCAATCTCTGTGGGAAAAGGAATATTTCTAGCGTATATATGCCAGCAGTGGTCATGAAAAATCTGCCGCCTTGCACAGTGTGATTCACACCCTATTTTGATATATTTATTATACCCAGGTGACCTTCAGGACCTGTAGCATTCTTGTCAAATGCATTGCTCAAATAGGAACACTGTCTATAATTTTTGTATCAAAAGATTAGACTTTCCACATTTTCAAAAATCTAACATGTGAAATATGTACAGATAGTCCCCAGTTTAAGAATGAGTTCCGTTCCCAAGGTCTGTCTTTAAGTTGAATTTGTATGTAAGCCAGAACAGTATTATTGTATAATACTATATAAGTAGTAGTGTGTAATGAACTCAAACCATTGTGTATTTAACTTGAATCGTGTATTTAACTTGATTTTTACTATAATAGTTCTTAACTATGGGTCTTCTGTAAAGGGGGCGTTCTTACCCCGGGGATTACCTGTATTAGTCTCTTCTCCACTCCCCCCCCCCCCCCCCCAAACTCCATTTCTCAGTATAAAAAGGAAC